TTCCATTTCATACTCATAAAGGCCCCTAGTCTATTATGTTATTTCTTTTTTTCTTTCCTTTTTAGGCATCAGTACCTCCCCCAATACTGCACTACAAACTGCACAAAGGCCTGGTCAAACAATTATAAATTCTGCCAATGAAGCCTTTCTTCATCTTGAGTCAAATACAATATTAAATTTCTAGGTATAGCTTCGAATCTGTGATTTGCAATCCTGGACACCATGTGAAGTTAAGTCTGATTGATCATGAGCTGTGCAAAGTCTTTTCATAAAATATTTGAGACTCATATAGGTGGTTTTCCAGCCCAGTTTCAAGTTCTTCTCTTTTTGAGTTGGAGAAAAAAAGTATGGCCGCAACCAGTGGCTTTGACTTTCATCCAAGTCAAGGAGGTTTCGTGTAATGCCATTTATATATTGCTTGGTTCTTTAGTTTATCTTTGACCTGAAGTGCACTGCACACCTAGCACCAGATCTTGTATCAGCCTCGATTTCTGCCTCGATGAAGAGTTTCTTAATCCTTCAATACTCAAAAATAAATTTAGAAGTACAAAGTTAGAAAAGCATATTCTGTAGTTATATCACTACTTTTATCTCAATTGTAGAACACACACTGCAAGAATGAAAAGATAACACAAAACTAGCTTTCCATTACCTTTGTCTTGCTATATGGCCTATTCGACTGGGGCAACTTGATGGAAGGGTGGGGCAAAAGCTGGAGTCCATAGGTGAATAGCTGTTACACGGATGGATAAATATTCTTTGGGACTGGAGAGGGCCATGGGCGAGTCTTGCCGAATCTCTTCTGGAGTATCTTCTACATCCTCGTCATCAGAATCGCCCATTTGATCTCCAAAAGGAACACCAGGCTTATGCACGAAATATTTCTTTTAAGGATCGTAGTCAGCAAAAGGATTCACTAATTTATGATCATTTGTTTGAATAAAAAGCAAAAAGGCGTGCTCTTTCAAACCATCCCCTTCTTATTATCATAGCATCCGAAACATTTAAAGACGTTCCAATAAAACCCTTTGTTACCATATAGTTCACCAACTGTACAGCGTTGAAATTCACCGTAAATTGCTGTATGTATCAATCATATCACACTGAGTCTAGCCCGGCATCATTGCCTGATTCTTTCGGTAGGCGAGACTAAGCGCTGGTGTATTAATATTAATGCAGGCTAGAGCCATCGACATCATCTTTGCATGTTTGAACATGATTTGCGTTTTATCGAAGGATTTTTGATTTTGAAAAACAATTCGTGCAGACACCAGGATGGGAAAAAAGAAAACTCCGATACGGGGAGTCGAACCCCGGTCTGGACGGTGAGAGCGTCCTGTGCTAGCCGTTACACCATATCGGATTTGTTGAAGTAAATTGAACGCTTAATTAATATATGATGGATGTTGTTTTTGATATATAATGTTTTAAGTCAACTCATGTATATACATCCGCGGTATTTTTGCACAATGGGAGTGAGGAAACCCATGAATGGGTGCTAGTGTCTTCTCACCTGAGCCAATTCAGTTGAAAGCTGTTTAAAGGTTTTTTATATTATTTTCAGAAAAAACTCGACCAGCTCATAGAAAACGCAAACTTCTAGTTCTTGTAGGAGGCGGGCTGTGGTCTCAAGACCTTCGGAAATATCTAATGAAGGCTCAACAGTACCATCTGCGTAAGCCCTTTCGGAGACGGACTCTTTGCAGAATCATATCTTCTAATAGAACTCTTTTTTTAGCACCTGATCAGTGGTACTTGTATTTCGTTTTCTCATAGTAATCAGATGAATGTACCAAAAAAACTGTGCATATATTCTCAAACTCCTGACGATGGGAGTAAATCAAATCTTCTGCCGAGTATTTACTGTCCTTCATATTTTTTACATTCTCTTGATTCAAATCCTGGCTCAAGCTTCATCTATACTGTAGCTTTCTTATCAAAGTCTACTTCTGTGGTACTGCGGACAAAATATATCGGTACCTTCCAATCTGAACAGACAGCGGTGAGGCCGATACCCCGTACCTTGTATATCATAAAACAGAGTGAAAATTGTTTTTCCAGTGGTTCCAAGCCACAAAGCGGGCCTTGGGTACCTAGCCACTGTGGATATTGGATACATTGCTGTCTAGCACACTTCTACAATATTTGACTGTCGAATGATCGGGTGCGTTGTCCTGGAAATACAAACATGCTCGAAGATTTCTACATGCGTTGCTGCAGTTCATATGGTCTATCTATGTGAACAGATTCGGAAATCATGACTTGAGTTGAATATGGCTTCTTTACTCCTGACCCCAATATATCCCGCGACTTTGCCTTCTTCGAAAGGCATGATTTGGCGAGCACCAAAGATCATGCCCCAAATACAGACTGACATTTTACTAACAATACCGATCTTTCTGATTAGCTAGCTGAGACGCTCAATCAATGGGGTTCTTTCTGGTGTAGGAAGCAGAAAACATAGCATGACATGACGCGAGGTCGATCTCGGCATATATCAAGATAGAGTGATGAAACAGGCCAAATTGAAACATAAAGAACAATCACAGAGAATCTTTAAAGCAGCAATGAAATGACGCAAACAGCTACTGGCCTTTCCCAACGATGAAAAGTGCAAGTCCATAAAACACGTCCACCCGGCAACACGATTGGCAGCCTGATGGAAACGACACTATTGGCAGCCCTGGTAGAAACGAAACACAATGCTCGGATAACAGCGGATCCTACCGATTCCAAATGCAAGCATACGCCCGTGGATCCATGAGCTGAGCATGGATCAGTCCGAACACGCCATAATTGGGGTCATATCTACGCCTACTAAATGACCATGCCCATTCACACGGAAAAGCAGTGGAACCAGACGGAGTCGGTGGGTTGAACAGGCCGCGGCTCTTGCACAGACCCCCTATCCCAGGAGTTCTGCCAGCACCATCGCCAGAGCTGCAAGCCTTGAAGACGGCTAGAAAAATTGCAAGAGAAATGGCCAAAAAAATGGCCAAAAAAAACAGCGAGAAAAAATGACAAGAACCATATGGCACGCTTATCTGTGGAGATTCGCAGTAGCCCTAAGAGTATATCCCGTCCGGCTTGCTGCATCCTGTGCGAAGCCATCTCTATGGTACAGCTAATTGATAGGAAGAAAAGTATTTCTTAATCCACCGTATTTCTCCTTGTGGGTTTTCCTCCGATCTGAACTTATACATCTATTTTTATTGTCCCTAGATTAACATCAGTGGATCAACTACTGAAGAGGAGTCTATCTGAGACCCTCTCCAAGACCAGGACTCCTATGTTTCCCGTGAGAACAGCTTACCAGACATAAAAGTCGGATTTAATCCCATCTTTTCTCCAGCGCCTCAGCACTAGTTCAGTCCTTACGTCCACACCTTCTGTGTATGAAAAGTTGGGTCCTCGAACTCATAGGATGACCGTCTAGGATATTGTTACTGGTATGCGTACTGCGTATAGCCTCTACGCTCGCCTGGTGCAAAGTAGACTTCAACTGTTTGTATTTCTGCTTGAGTACAGGATATTCCAACTCAATGTCCTGTCCACAAGTGGTTCCCAACTGGTACAGTTGAGATATCGGATTCGACATGATGTACTAGCGTGTGGAAATAAACCTTTATTTAGGAAAAACTAAAACCACTTTTGTGTCAACTGACCTTCTAAAAAGATCTCTAGAGGGAATTCTCTTCCCTTCATATACTCGTCGTGCTATTTGGTTCCGGGTAAGTGGTGCGAACTTTAATGTCTCATTTGTCACATGATTAATTAGGGCTAAGCGTCTAGTTCTCACATCAACAGGCAACATCTGTTTGAACGTTTGCTTATGTACAGCATATTCCCGCTGGATATCCTGTCCACATGCGTTTCCCAACTCAGGCTGTTGAGTGATCGGGCTACAGTTAATGTACTAGCATGCGAAAATAAATCTTTATCACAATAACGAAACCAACTTTGTTGAGACGGATCTTAAAAAACAATCGGGTGAGAAGACACCCCCTCACTTCTATACTTCGTCGCGCTTGTTCCTGGTAAGTATCTGAAACAGGAATGTTGTGATGTCATATTTTTATTGGAGTAAGTCCTGGTTCTCACAGCGAAAAGCAGGCCCGTGTCGACCCGCTCGGTTCTGGCCGTTTTGGGCCAGGCCAATAAAGCAGACACGCAGGATTTTTCCCGGACTCCCAGGTTTTTCTTACTCCTGTGCGGCCAGGCTCGTCGGCCGGATCGCAGCCTCGACGGGCGGGTTGTGGAAATCCGGCCCGCGTGTGTGCTGTGTGGGCGGGTCCTGGGATCCTGGTCCTGGAATTTTGGTCGGAATTTTGGTCCTGTAATTTTGGCCCCAGAGCCCTGGCCATGAAAGGCGCCGAAACTAGGCCCCAGAATTCAGCCCTAGAATATGGCCCTAGATCTCTGGCCCTAGATCTTTGGCCCTAGATCTTTGGCCCTGAAATGCGACCCTGGGATCCAGGCCCTGGAATTTTAGTTCTGAAATGCGGCCCCCGAATTCTAGTCCTGGAATTAAGTCCTGGAATTAAGTCCTGGAATTAAGTCCTGGAACTTTAGTCCTGGAATTTTAGTCCTGGAATTTTAGTCCTGGAATTCTATTTTGGAATTTGGCCCTGAATTTCGGCCCCAGATTTGTGGCCCTGAAACGCGGCGCCAGAACTCGGCCCCAGAATCCCGCCCTGAACTCTGGCCCCGGATCTCTGGCCCGAAAATTCTCGCCCCGGATCTCGGGTCCCGCCTTCTGGCGCGATTAACCCGCGCCCGCCTTCCCTGTTCGGGCGCCGCGGTCCGAGCCGCGCCCAGTCGGGGCAAGCCGCGCAGAAGCCGCTAGCAGGCCGCGCCTGGCGCACCCAATTAGGCAGCACCCGCCTGGCGCAAAGTGCCCGGCACCAAGCCGTGCACGAGTATAAATACCCATGGCCCTCCTCGTCTGGCCCGCGCTTCTTGTCGCCACCAGCCTCGTGTACTCCTTCTTTTCCTCCAACATGTCTGTGTGCGAAAAATACTTCCCCGAGGAGCCCGCGGGCCCCCACACTGCCAGCGCCGTGCCCGGGCCACAGTCACAGCGGGCAATCCAATCGTTGGGCCAGGTCTTCGACTCCAGACCCGCGTACTTCGTGGCCGACTACACGCGGTCCGTGGGCAACTACATTGCCGACGTGGACGGCAACTTGTACTTGGACGTGTACGCGCAGATCGCGTCCATTCCCTTGGGCTACAACAACCCCGCGTTGGTTGCGGCGGCCAAATCGGACCGCATGGTCAGTGCCATCGTCAACCGGCCCGCGTTGGGCAATTTCCCCGGCAGCGACACCGAGCACATCATCCGCGACTTGTTGAAGGTGGCGCCGCAGGGCCAGGACAAGATGTGGTCCGGGCTCTCCGGGGCCGACGCCAACGAGTTGGCATTCAAGGCCGCGTTCATGTGGTACCAGCTGAAGCGGCGCGGTGCCGGCGCGGCGTTCTCGGCGCACGAGACCGCCAGCGTGATGAAGAACCAGGCGCCCGGGGCGCCGGACTTGGCCATCTTGTCGTTCCAGCGGGCGTTCCACGGCCGCTTATTCGCGTCGGCCTCTGCCACGTGCTCGAAGCCCATCCACAAGATGGACTTGCCGGCGTTCAACTGGCCCAAGGCCGAGTTCCCGGCCTACAAGTACCCCTTGGAGGCGCACCGCGACGCCAACAGCAGGGAGGACGCGCGCTGCTTGGCCATTGTGGATACCTTGTTGAAGTCCTGGAACGTGCCCATCGCGGCCGTGCTTGTGGAGCCCATCCAGTCTGAGGGCGGCGACAACCACGCGTCCGCGGCGTTTTTCCAGGGCTTGCGCGACCTCACCTTGGCGCACGGCGCTCTTTTGATCGTCGACGAGGTGCAGACCGGCGTGGGCGCCACGGGCAAGATGTGGGCCCACGAACACTTCGACTTGGAGCCCAAGCCCGACATGGTCACGTTCCTGAAGAAGTTCCAGTCCGCGGGCTACTACTACCACGACCCCGCGTTGACGCCTGCGCAGCCCTACCGCCAGTTCAACACGTGGTGCGGCGACCCGGCCCGCATGATCTTGGCGGGCGCCATTGGCCACGAGATTGTCGAGCACGACTTGGCCAAGCAGGCCGCGCGCGTGGGCGACTACTTGTACGGCAAGTTGGCCAAAATGGCCGACAAGTACCCGGACTATCTCGCGGACTTGCGGGGCAAGGACCGCGCCACGTTCATAGCCTGGACGTTCAAGACGCCGCAGCTCAGAGACCGGTTCTTGGCGGACATGAAGACCGTGGGCATCAACATCGGAGGCTGTGCCGACGACTCGGTGCGCTTGAGGCCCACGTTGGTGTTTGAGGAGAAACACGCGGACGTGTTGGTGGCGGGCATTGAGAAGGTGTTGCTGGGCTACTGAGCCGTGGCTAGGTAAATAGGTCGCTGGCCAGAGGGAATGGGTATCTATGAGATGTGAGTGTGGATGATTTTGTGGCTTAGAAGTATACATGATATGACCATGATTACATTTTTGTATGATAATGACATAGTACTACATAATTGCATGCTTGCATGACTACATAATTACATGCTTACATGACTACATAATTGCATGTTTATTATAATTGCATGATTATACTATAATTGCATGATCACATGTTGAATACAAGTTTACTTTGACAGGTTGATTACATGTCAACATCAGAACTGCATATTGATGACGACATAATTACGTGATTACATGTTGATAGCAGTTTACTTACATGCTTACATGTTCACATGTTGACTAAAATTCTACTTTTACAGGTCTGTTACATACTAAACATGTGAGCTACATGTTGATCAGTGCATGTGGGTTACAAGTCTACATGTCAACCCCATGTCGACTCCATGTTAACTACATATTGCATGTTTGCATATTTACATGTTTACATGTTTACTGTTATTCTTTCCCGGTTCCGAAAACCCTCTCCCATTCAACATGGTCTTCACGTGTGATCAGAAGACTGCTAAACTTCCCGTTTATTCTCTCCACACGTATCTCCCTCTTCCTGTGCCTTTCTGCACGTTACCACGAGTAATACGTTTCCCTCCTTTCCACATTGCCCCAGTTTTCTATAAATAATGAAATTGAAATTGACCATATACAAACACTCATTCCAAATTCCGGGGATCAAAACACAGTGCCTGTTCGGCAGTATTCGTATGCTGAATTTCTAGATGACCCTGGATACTTGAGAAAGCTCACTACTGCGATGATCCAGTCGTATATGGCCAGACCACGATGAGCATAACCGCCATTCCCGCCTGTCCAGAAAAGTTATCAAAACCCCTAGCATCAAGCCGGGTCTCCTCTCACTCTACCCCGGATCCCGAAATCTGCACCGCACCCAAAATAAACGACACCACAGAAAAGCATATTCTAAGGATTATCTTCAAATCCCATACAGCTGCGCCCCCTACAACTGCGCCCCGTACAACTGCAATCCCCCATGTTCCATAACCTTGGCCAGAAGGCCCTGCCCCCGGGGCACGTGCCGCGGCACGTGACCCGCCGCGTCCCGGCGGCTTCGACCCCGGATCTCGCGCAGCATCGGCCGCAGCCCGGAACCGGCATCTTGGCAGGCCCACGGTTTTTCGGACTCGCCGTGCTTCTCTCAGAAACAACCACTAGTTTCTATTCCCGGGAGATCCGTGTGTTGGAATCGTGAGTATAAAAACCCCTGCTTGCTAGTTTCTGGGCTTGCAATTTCCATTGCTTCTAGTTCTTGGTTCTTTTCTAGTGGACAGATCACTGTGCACCTTGTCTAGGCTCGATCGTACCTCCAGCCTGAGCCGCTGAGAAACAGCAGTCCAAACCCCTCGTCAATTTATAGGCCGGGTCGGTTTGTAAATCTCATTGCCACACTGAAGAAGTACCCCCGCCATTCTGTTGGGACAGAACTTCTGGATTTAAATAGAACGGCCTTTGCTAGCCTCGTACGCTGGCCCACTTTCGCTCATATTCACCCTCTTAGGCAGCCCCATTTTCGAAAAAATGACAGCCACTTCTCCGCAGGACACGTGGGCTGTCCGAATCAAGCGACAGGTGAAGCAGGAGTCCAACGCGTCGCTCATTGCCGGCGGCGTGGCCGGGGCCGTCTCACGGACCTTGGTCCTGCCTTTTGAGCGGGCCAAAATCTTGCTCCAGCTCCAGGGGCCCGAGGCACAAAAGGCGTACCGCGGCATGTTCCCCACGATCTGGAAAATGTACAAAGACGAGGGCTGGCGCGGCTGGTTCCGGGGGAACACGTTGAACTGTGTCCGCATTGTGCCGTACAGTGCCGTGCAGTTTGCCGTGTTTGAGAAATGCAAGCTTTTGCTCCTCGGCTACAAGCACGAGGACCGGCGGCAGCTCACGGACCTCGACCGGCTCTTGGCGGGGTCCGTCGGCGGCATTTCGTCCGTGTTGGCCACCTACCCGTTGGACTTGGTCAGGGCACGCATCACCATCCAAACGGCGCTGTTGAAAAAGCTCAACCGGGGCAAGCTAGTGCGGGCCCCGGGCGTGTGGGAAACTCTAAGCGACGTGTACAAAAACGAGGGCGGGCTTGTGGGCTTGTACCGCGGGATCGTGCCCACCACGCTAGGCGTGGCGCCGTACGTGGCCCTCAACTTCGCCCTGTACGAGAACTTGCGGGAAATGATGAAGGAGTCCAGCCACGACTTCAGCAACCCGCTCTGGAAACTCGGGGCCGGGGCCATCAGCAGCTTTGCCAGTGGCGTGCTCATATATCCGCTTGACTTGCTCCGAAAGCGGTACCAGGTGGCCAGCATGGCGGGCGGCGAATTGGGCTTCCAGTACCGGTCGGTGGCTCACGCGTTGGTGACGATTTTCAAGCACGAGGGCATTTCGGGTGCATACAAGGGCTTGACGGCGAACTTGTACAAGATCGTGCCGTCCATGGCGGTGAGCTGGCTATGCTACGACTCTCTCAAAGACTGGATCGCGGCGTGGTAGGTGGAGCCTGTGGCGGGCGTGAAGATTTATTTAAGTTCTACCAGGGACGCGGGGGATTGTGGTGCAGGGACGAGACGTGCCAAGTGTTTCCTTCCGATTGGGGGCATCTTGCTCGGGACGCAGGGGAGAAGACCCACAGACCACGTGAAGTTTTTTCTGGACTATCCTGGGTTACTACGAAAAGGACCTATGGACTACTACGGGGACAACGTGAGGGGTGTTTATCGCGAACGCGTAGAGAATATGAGAAGTCGTCACGGACTGCCCGGAGGGAAAGAAAAAATCGTCATGGACATACAGCTCGGGCCGACACGCTCACTGCTGACGTGGGACATGAGACCAGTGCTGGCGTATGCTCGAGAGATGGGGGCGTGCTCAGCTACAAGTAGAGAGTTCCCATGTGGGGAAGCCCGGGCTTCGGCAGTCTGTTTCCTTGGACATATTTGATGACAATTGACAATATAGAAATTCAAGATCTATTCACACGGCATTGCTGGTTCTTTTGTGTTGTGTATATTACGCAAGCAAAGCAAGAATGTCTGTAGTTCGCTTGTGAAAATGTAAGAGCCAGAATTGAGTAGTGGTAAACCTTCATAATGATTTTGTGGGTTTGGAGGTCCATCATCTACTCAAAGAAATGGGCTTTTCACGAAGCATTCTGGCCCTTTTCTTTTGTTACTCTTATTCAGCTTCTGAAAGCCACGCTGCTGCGAATTGGTGTCTCTGGTCCAAGAATATATCAGCTAAATCTGCTCTTGTCCGCCACCCAGGTAAAAGCATCAGCCTCACATCTACAAGGCATCATTTGACATTGAGCTGTCGAAAAGAAAAAATCTAATGAGACCGAGATGTGGCCGAAGTTCCATCCTTCCACTTTATGGGCCAGAATTATATTCTTCATACATCACTAAGTTCGGGTGGGTGTATGCGTTGTTGACAATCACCATAGCTCATATTCTTGTGAAAGAGAGGATTGCCTCTGACTTTTCTTTGGTAATACTGAGCTTTTTCTACCGGTTTCTGCGTCATCTAAATGGCTAATCACCAAAGGTTTCCAATTTCCCCAAACAAAATCACACAAGTGCGGACCCAAATCTGAAGCCTCGTCATTAATAGTTTTGAATCTGGAGAAACCATATCCGGATATTCTCAGATTTTTGTGACCAGTATGTGTTTGTCTCAGACCGAAAGCTTCCACTGGTGTCTGAGGAAGAACAGTCTATTAAACTGTTCTGTTGCTTTTATTGACTTTACGCCAATTCTGATTCTTGAGCTAGCAATTTAAATTGGTGATCCCTTTGTTTGATGTAACTTCAAACAGACAAAAAAAAGCCAGGTGTAAAAAATGCACCGTTCATAAGCAACAAAACTAAGGTTCTATAGAATCAGTCATGTGTGGAATGCCGTAGCTCCCGAAAATGGTCAGTAGGCGATACTGTCGAGGACGTAGTCATGGAGACAATCATAATGGTGGTGTACGAATCGATTCCTAAGTAGGAGCAAAACACAGCTTACGAAGAGAAAATACCCCAATATTGCTCACAGCTAAGGTATCCTGGATCCTTCCACCCATCATTGTGAGCGTTGAAGTAGAGGACGTGATCACCTACCTTGTCAGCGATATCAGAGAGGGCAGCAGCCTGCTCAGCTGTTCCAGCAACGGCGTCACCATTGGTGTCACCGGCGGTCGGCCAAGTAGCTCAACAAAACCTTGCCACAGATTTGATTGCAACAGGCAAATTGCAATTAAACCCTACTAATTCTAGTAAAGAAAGACAGTGGAGACAACGAAAGGCGTAACAATTTAAAACGATACTGGCGGGGAATCAAGCAAGAAAGGCAAATGATCACGCGTGATAAGACTTAGAAGTTGTTCCTACCCATACAGTTTCAGATTCTTATCAGTTGCATTGCAAAAACATCGAGATACTTGAACCTGATGATGAGATAATGAATCATTACTCAGAGTTCCACTGAATCGGGATTTTTTGTACGTGATGGACCGGTTGCGTCAAGACTTCGCTCGAAGTTTACAATTGTGTACTATAAAGCAGACATCACCCAGAAAAAAGACTGCGTTACTATTATCTAGCGAGCATGTGTATGCCAGTACTAGAGATGGTAGATAGTTCATCTTTCTATTCTATTACCGAGAGCAAGAGTTTCACGAGACGAGTCACCGAGAAAAGTGAAGAGAGTGGCCACTCTCGCGTTATTTCAGACCAAGATAATAAAAGGTGGTTGCTTCCTAAGCTGCTCCCTTGGCTGTTTTCAAAATCTTAGTCTCTTTTCCCGTGAGTTTAAATTTTGCAAGATTTGAGTGAGTCCATGCGCAGCGATTTATTAAGCCGTGTAAGCAGTACAGAATAGGCTGCAAAAAGGAAGTGAATTTGGGCCCGATATGAGTTCTAATCCTTTTCATACAAAAGTATGAAGCATACATATATATACCCGTTTTCTGGTTTTATGGGCACGGGAAAATTGTTTACAGAGTTTAGGACGCACGCGGCGGATCACATTCAGCCTTTCATCACTATGTGCAACTGCGAGGAAAAAAGAGAAAAGAGGTAATTGCGTGAATGTGGCTAGCAGAATGGATCTGATCAAACCTAATTATTCCCAATGTTCCAGTATGCCAATTGGCGCTTCTAAATGGTGCGTTTTTCACGTCTTGTATCAGGGTTACTAGTGCCAATTTCGAACAGACCATCGGCTCCCCACAATTCACGAGAAATGCACCAGACATATACCAGAGATGTATTGGTTAGCATGGATATACCGGAAACACGCCAGAAGTACTTTATGAGCACACAATGAGCGCACGGCCATAAATTATACGTACGCCATATACACCATCGATGCGTTATTGATGCAGCATGAATCCACCATAAATACACCATGAATCCACCATCAATACACCATTAATACACCATAAATCCACCATAAATACACCATAAATACACCATAAATACACCATTAATACACCACTAATCCACCATCAATACACCATTAATCCACCATTAATCCACCATAAATCCACCATCATTACACCATTAATACACCACTAATCCACCATCAATACACCATCAATATACCATCAATACACCCTTAATACCCCATTTATACACCATAAATCCACCATAAATACACAACCGTCGCCAGACCCCACACCCCCTCCAAATATCAGCTCCCGGAACCCGACTCTCCACCGCCAAAATGGGCCCATCCGCGGGTCACGTGACGCGCGGTCAGCCAACCATCGTCCGCGCAACTCTTCAACAAACTGCCCCATCTTTCCCTTCACCCACATCAACACACCAAACATGAGAAGCTCGCAGATCTTGAGACTTGCCGCCAAAAAAAGCACTGCCCCTAAGGTGGGTGCGCCCGTGGAAATGTACCCCTTGTTTGCCGCCGTCGGCGTGGCCTTGGTGTCTTTGACTTACTTCACCTACAGACACTTTGCCTACGACAAGCACTTGAGATTGTGGAAAAACCCCAACTTGTCGACCTTGGACGAGGTGTTGAACAAGGCTGCCGAGGATGAGAAGACCGGCGGTGCCCAATAAGCGGCCGGCACCAAAAGTGGCGTGGCGTCATGCGTTTTTAGAGCTACGTAGTACTTGTTCTCATCTGTATGTATCTATTCACAAGAGCCCCCGCCCTGGCCCGGGCCCGGCAAATACACAATTCCATACTGGCTGGTGGGCCGGCGCCCCACACTGTAGACCCAAGGGCCCCGTGCGTTTTTCCTATGTACATGGGTGCGGATGCTGGCACTGAATAATAGCAGCAATAAGCGGGTGAACTGGCCTGTTGCAGTAATCGGTTTCGAAGGGACCGGACCCGAAAACAAGTTGCCGTGTTTCAGTAGCAACTACCGGGTGAAATTACCAGGTGAAATGACCAGGTGCAATAACCAGATGCAATAACCACATACAACAGCCACATACAACAGCCACATACAACAGCCACATACAACAGCCACATACAACAGCCAGTTTTTAACCAGCCCCACCCAGCTTCAACAGCCATTTTCAATCTAGTTGCGGATGTTCGTGTAGTAGTTGGTCACCTCGGCCGTGTCGTCCAAAAGATCAATGCACTTGGCCATGCTCTTCTCGAGGCCCTCCGGGAAATCCACCTCGCTGTCGGGGTCCGCCACAAACGTGGTTTTGGAGTCGCGCAACTTGTAGCCCTTTTCGGACAAGCGGTTGGACACGGCGTTCAAGTCGGCCGGGTCCGTGGTGATCTTGTACAAGGCCTCGCCGTCGTACTCGTTTTCGACGTCCTCGAACTCCACCACGTCTTCGGCCCCGACGTCGATGGCCGCCTCGAAGATCTCGTCAAACAGCTCCGAGCCCGAGCGCGCCTCGAACACAATCTCGCCTTTGCGCTGGAATATATACTGGCATGGGCTCAAGGCCGCGTTAAACTTTGAAAGTGCGTGCTTCACGAGCCCGATGGTCCGCGTCTTGTTGTCCGTGTTGGCCTCCACAATGAACGCCACGCCGCCAGGGCCCATGAACTCGTACATGACCTCGAACGTCTGGACCGTAGAGCCGGTGCTTTCGCCCAGGCCTCTTTTGATGGCGTTGTCGATGATTTTCTTGGTGATATTGGCCTTCCGCGCCTTCTCCACTAGCGTGGCCAACTGCGCGTTGCTGTCCACGCCGCCCAGTTTGACGCTGGCCATGATCCGCGTGACCATGGTGAACGCTTCCTTCAGTTTCTTCGCGTCGTTTTTGGCCTTGTCGTGTCTGATGTTCTGCCACTTGGAGTGGCCCGCCGCGCGCATGCAGGACCCGTGGAGGAGCCTGTGTCCTTGCCGGAGAGCTGGGAGTTGTCGGGGAAAATTTAGCATTGTTTGCTGGCGGGTTTCGGGCAAAGAAGTAGGAGTTGGTTCGAGGAGACGTGCGGTGAGCGAGGGTCACGTGCGCACCCGGGGCATTGGCTGGGCGACGACTGGGGGAGCCACTTCGGAGGCGTTTTGACCAGTCTTTTCTGTTTTGTTTTTTGTTGCAGTGTGACGGGGACAGCTGGTTGGCGGGTGCTGTTTTTGTTTTTGTTTTTGGGTTTTCAATCGTGTTTTGTAGTGTCTGCTTATTTGGATTAGTGCAAGTGAAGCGTGTCGCGATGGCTAATTGGCAGGCTCATGACGATCTGTTTTATGGAAGACAAGAGGCAATGCCGCGGGACGATGTTGGAAACTGGCCTTTTATTCTGTGGAGAGGAAACTTTTTAGAAATGACCTGCAGTAACTAGACCCATGTCAAGTAGACCCATGTCAAGTAGACCCATGTCAAGTAGACCCATACGGAATATATCTCAGATAGACCCATGTCAAATAGACTTATCTCAAACAGACCCATCTGAAATATACCAATATTAAATACACCCATATTAAATACACCCATATTAAATACACCCATATGAAATAGACTCATACCAAATAGACTCATACCAAATAGACCCATATCAAATAGACCCATACCAAATAGACCCATACCAAATAGACCCATACCAAATAGACCCATACCAAATAGACCCATACCAAATAGACCCATACCAAATAGACCCATACCAAATATATTTCAGATTGACCCATGTCAAAAAGACCTTTACCAAATAGGCCCATTTGGGAAATACCCATCTGAAAAAGACCCATCTGAAAAAGACTCATATGTTAAGATCCACAATGGCGGTGCAAGATCAGGTGCCAGGATGTTCCAGATGTGGGAATGCTCTCACATATCTCCAATCAATTATGAGAGTCCTTTGAGGATAAGAAATGTTTAATTCACGGCCATTTTCGGACTATGGACATTTATCAAATTGAGTCTGTTTTGGTGAAAGTAGATTGTCTCAGCTGCTTGAAGTTAGTATATGGTTGAGTGCGCTTGATTGTAGCCCGATTGGTTGTTCCTCTTACACAAGGCCACAAACCATGTTGGGTTCATGGCATAGACATTACTTCTGTGGTAAAAGCAGACTACCTTCTTAATAAGAACCATCTCTGCCACTGGGCCCTTTGCTACTTTTGACAAAAACCATAAGCAAGGAGCCAGACTCGGCTCACGAATGCTATTTTTATCGCAAAAACCTGGTTTCTGTCACCTGGTATATATCACAAAAAACCGTAGCACTTTTTCTGCTCTGCAATGTATCCGCCAGATCCTTTCAGAAGCTACTTCAAGTGGACCCTTCTGGAAACATGTCGACTACTGACTGTTGAGGCCAGTAGACAATTATATGATATCAAAGACAAGTCAGCTTGGTGCATATGATTTTCTTTTGGGCCATTAAACTTTTCCATCCCATTTGAAAGGGGCAAATGATGAATCTACATCAGTGAACGTCACTCTTCAACCCTCAAACCGAAATGCTACAAGAAAATCACTATTCAATGAAAAGCGAGCAAATTCACTCATTTCAACTGAGCTGTGAGTACAACGACAATAGCTTTTTTGTAGAAGATCAAGACTTTTATGCCCCAATAGCCCCTTCTCGTCTACGAAAAAACACAATCTTCTCTTTACGCATCTCCAGTAGATAAAAGTGACATGAGTGTCAAAGTTGTTCTATTAGCGCTGAAACTTCTCTCGTATCTGAACACAACAGAATTCTCAACTCGCTCTAACGAAACGTATGAAATCATTGCTTATACGCCTGTCTGGCTTCATACTACTCCCCCCTCGTGTTCCAGACTCCAATAATTGGACCATACTTGTAACCAAAAAAAATCACCATACATAGAGTGTGGCTAAAGCGAAGGGCCGATGGTTTCTGGGTGGTGTCCCAGCTCAAAATCTGATTTGTATGGATGTCTTTATTCACGGATACGATATACTAATAAATCGCCTCCCACCCACAAAGACGCAAGGTGAAGACCAGTTGCCCTGTTTGTCCTTCCCAGACGATTCTCTGTTTTGAAGTTCAAACTCACACTCCAATTGCTCGTTTGGTCTCCATGCCACCCTAGCCATGAAGAACGGATAGTTGTCCAACCAGCCCCCAGAGCTCACAATGCTTGGCCGCCTTTCTGAGCCCGTAGTGTCAGTTGTCAATATTCCTGTTAGTTTAATTCAACCCAATACAGCCTAAGAGGTTGTTCCTTAGATGACCAAAACTCATCAGCCCGAAGAATGAGAGAAGGGTCTCAGATTGTCCTGGACAACAGCTCAATTTAAAAACCGCCGATGGGTCTGGCTGAGACTTTGAACTGAAGCGAAATAAACACCGATTTGGAAAAAGGCCTTGTCTTTGTTTTTACACAACACTTTTTGGGGCTTACGAGATTGGACCGTGCAAATTGCATCTTCTTGTAGCAGTAGTGCGGATGGCCATGGGCTTGTCCATTAACCCTGGCACCCCTCCTTCAACAAGGGAAAAGCAATCCAAGAAAATGGAAAATCCCCGAGCCCGAGCTCACAACAGAAGCACGGCAACCCCCGCCGCCCTGCACACCTCCATCTTCCCGGCAGTGTCTCCACTATACGTGAAAGCACATGGTCTCCCACTACCCTGCGCGTGCCTTTCGCACCCAGGCCCGCGCACCAAAACGAGGTCTTATCAGTGAACGAAAACTCCCAATCAGAACCAGGCATCGCCCGCATCGCGAGCTTGTTTCCAGGGTTTTTGGCTTTCTCGCCTCTTTTGCTTTTTCGTTCTCAAAGGCCAATTGATCACAGGCTGCGTGGTGCCTCACATCAGCTGCGTCCAGACCCGTCATTGTACTCTGGATCCATTGGGACCTCGCAACGGCCCATTTCACATCTGGCTGACAAAAAGACACTTCACGTGATTTCATAGAATGACGGCTGCAAACGGCGCCTCCAGGGTGTCGTCGTTCGTGTCGTTGATCAAAACCATTGTCGGTGCGGGGCTTTTATCCATGCCGCTCGCCTTTTCCACCGACGGGCTCATAGGCGGCTTTTTCATCGTGCTTCTTGCTGCGCTTACCGCTGGATACGGGCTTTTCCTCCAGGTGTACGTGTCCAGGTATGTGGCGACAGGCCACGCGTCGTTTTTCAACGTGTGCTCCATCTCGTACCCGGCGCTTTCGGTCGTTTTCGACTTGGCCATTGCCATCCAGTGTTTCGGGTGTGCTGTGTCTTACTTGGTTCTCATTGGCGACTTGATGCCGACCATAGTCCGCGGCGGCCCGGGCCGGGTGTTTTGGATCCTCGCGTCGGCGGTGCTCTGTGTTCCGCTCTCGTTTCTCAGGAACCTCGACTCGTTGAAGTACACGTCCATTATGGGCCTTGGCGCCATCGCCTACCTCTGCGTGTTGGTCGTTCTGGAGCAGATTCTCGGAGACCTCCCTCCGGAGGCCCGGGGCGAGATCTTGCTTCTTCCGGGGGGCTGGAAAAGCGTGTGTTCCACGTTCTCTATCATAGTGTTTGCCTTCACGGGCCACCAGAACATGTTCTCGATCATCAACGAGGCGGGGAACAAGTCGCTCGTGTCGTTGGCAACTTTGGTCAACATGGCCGTGTGGAACGCAGCAACGCTTTTCGTGGTGGTGGGCATTTGTGGGTACCTTACCTTTGGCAATCTCGTGGGGGGCAATGTCGTGTTGCTGTATCCCGACTCCTTGGGCACGCACGTGGGCCGGTTTGCCATTGTGTTCATGGTGGTGTTTCTGTTCCCGTTGATGATCCACCCGGCGAGACTCTCCGTCAACAACATCTACTACTGGGTGCGGGAAAACGGGCCCGGCACGCTGCACTCTGCTCTTTCTTCGGGCGGCCATGCTGCCTCCGGCCAAAACTCGCCGTTGCTTGGCTCGGCGGAAGAACCGCGGGGCCCCGCCGCCCGGAACCACGTGGTGCCGTTCTCGCACACGACGTTCTGTGTGATCACCGCGTTGCTTTTGGCGGCAGGCTACTACTTGGCAGTGTCGCTCAGCTCGTTTGCCCTTGTGTTGGCTGTAGTGGGAGCAACGGGGTCCACGGCCATTTCGTTCATTTTGCCCGGCTTGTTCGGGTACAAATTGATCGGCCTGGAGAACGAGCGCCCATCCCGAGCCGAGCGCATGCTTCGGGGCTTGTCTTTGATGCTCACGGTCTGGGGCCTTGCGGTCATGGTTGTTTGTCTCTATTCAAGCTTGGCCTTGTGAGGGAGGCCGGGCGATAGGTGATGTTCTTTTTTGATTCATATGTCAGGCTTCTGCTGATTTGGATGGGGCGGCTCAATGGGACCCAGTGGTTTGTTGAAGGCTAAAGTATTTTGATGGAGAGGAGGACATTTAACAGGGCGGAGTATGTGTTCATGCTGTCCCGCAACACTAAAAATCCCGGCACGCAACGGGGTTTTCGGATTCTGGCTACCTCCCGGTCCTTGAAAAAATTTCTGTCAATTCAAGGTTCGGGACTGACCACCTATATTAAACCGGGCACCATGCTCATTCGCGTGCTCTTTCATGTCTGGGCACAATCGTTCGTGGCTAGGCACTTGTTCATGTCCAGGTACTGTCTAGTAATCGGCGGCTATCCCGAACGTGGCACTAAAACCCAACCCCCAGAATTCTACTGTCTACAATTTTGGAATGGGCGTGGTCCCCATCTCTAATATAATCAGGCCTTCCATTTCCGGCACCGCGGCCTCGCTTGCAGCCGGCTATCGCAGGCGGTTGGTCCGCGCACGTCCCGTGATAACCGGCCAGTGGGTGCACCATGGCACCCTATATACTCACTGGATCCACGCAAAACTAGCACACCGTCACGACAATCATGAGTGCTAATGAAGCAATGGCCAAGCGCTCGTTGCTTGCTGTGATTGCCGACGAGGATTCTGTCACGGGCTTGTTATTGGCGGGCGTGGGCCAGGTCTCCAACGAGCCAGGCAAAGAAGCCAATTTTCTTACTGTGGTGCCCGGGAAAACTTCCGAGGAGGAAGTCGAGGAGGCGTTCGACAAATTCACCAGTGAGAGAGACGACATTGCCATTTTGTTGATCAACCAGCACATTGCTGACTTGATCAGACACAGAGTAGACTCGTATACGAAGGCGTTCCCGGCCATTTTGGAGATCCCGTCAAAAGACCACCCGTACGACCCGGAGAAGGACTCCATCTTGAAAAAAGTCAGGCGTCTTTTTGGCGAGTAGCGCGGCGGCAGACCCGGTTCAAAGCGCCCCCCCCCCCAACATCCCCATTCCCTGCAACCGTCTCTTTTATAGTTCAATTCAACGACCTTCTTTTTCTGCAAACCATTACACGTGCTCTTGCGACTTATTCCCACATGTACATTCAAGTTACTTAAAGAACCACTTCCTCTAGGCTGGCTGACTTCGACACTTCGTCCGTGGAGGGGGCACCGGCGATCGACGCCTCTTCCTTCGTGTTTCCCTCTTCGAGGGCAGTTGTTTCATCTAATAGCGGGGCGAAGTCCGCGTTCGGGGGCGTGTTCTCGTCTGAGACGGTGGCAAATGGCTCTTCCATATTCTCTATTCCAGAATCTGCCTCCAGCTGTCCTGCCGCGTCGGGGACAAGCTCCGCTACCGCTGGCTCTGCGCCAATATCTCCGGACGTGTTTTCCTCGGCCTGGTCCCCTGCCACCTGTTCGTCTGGGATTTTCACCGTGACTTCCAGGTTATCTGACTTAGGTTCCCCGGCCTCTGCAGGTGTACTTTGTTCCTCGCCGGACGGCTCCGGCTCTTCTTCGGGAACCTCACAGGCTTCTTGGGCCGGAAGTGCCTCTGCAGATTCTCCCGCCAAATCCGTAGCCTCCTCCTCTGCAGGCGACTGTGGCACCTCTTCTGCAGATAGAGACGGTTCGTTTTCAGATTGCTCGTTCACGGCAGAACCTTCGGTGGGAACACTCTCCAAAATTTCAAGCTCCTCGTGTTCTGGAGACGGAGCAGACACGGCGAGGGCTGGGAGCTCTTTCGATACTCGACTAGGCTCAGCTTCAGCGACGTTGTCTGTGCTCAGAACCGGGGGCTCACCATTATGCGCTTCGTGTGGCGGAATGGCGTTTTCCACAGCCGATGAGGCGGGCTTCAGCCAGTAGTTCTTGGCGAGTATATCCGGAAGAACGCAGTCTTTGACATAGAAGTCGCGCACTCCGACGATTCTTCTCTCTCTCTCGCACGCCTTCAACCACTCGGGTCGGATTATAGGGATGTTCATGTCATTTGCCTTCATGAACTCTGGGTTCTGTTTGTTCTCGCGAGTGGTTACAAAATGCGTGGTTTCCACCTTCATCTTGTCCAGAGCAGGATGATGAGCGCCCATGTTGACCAAAGCCTGCTGGATATCGTCCAACGTGAATTGGTCGTTGGGGGCTATGTCACCCAAACATACCTGGATCCCAGACAAATCCGTCATCTTGTGGGTCGTCACTTCGACAATGTCGGACGTGTATACGCCTGCTGTGGAGTCCAATTTTAGCTGGAACTTGAAGCTCTTTTCAATGGGCAATCCCGAGAGCTTTGTGGTGCGGTTGCTCAATGGCTGGGGGATAGCCCCGAGTTTCTTGCCGTCTTTGAAAAGAGTCAAGCTCTTCAAAGTGGCGGTGCCGAGATCTAACGGGTCCCATTCCAAGACACACGAAGTCTGCGTGACGTTTTTGATCCTCAACAAGGGCGCCTGGGGAAGATTCTTACCGAAAGTCTCGAGAATCTCATCCTGCACTGCCAAAAACCTCCTGTGCTCCTCGATCTCGGTCTCCAAGTCACGCTCACAGCTAATCTTAACTATGGAGCCGGCCTTCACGCCATTGGGCAATAAAACTGTGGGGAATTCAATCAAGTGGTGGTCTTTCGTCAACAAGAGTGCAAGAGAAGCATCAAGCTTGCCAACGGTGAGTGAAACTTCGACCATCGAATGCGGAATTGTAGACTGAAACTTGGAGTGCTGTCGCCAACTGCTGGTATGTTGGTGGCAGTCTCGCACTGGGATTCCATGCTTGAGTGGTGGTGCACTGGTTTTCCTCCGGGAATGCGCCTCAGCCGTGGTCCCACGCATGATAGGAGGTGGGAGACGAATAGTGATGAGCCCCCCGCCCATTGTGGAATCACCAAAAAATACGATACATATGCGTATACACGGTTTCCCAGCTTCAATCTAATTGGATCAACGCATGGCCAGTTCCTTCGCCCCTTTTTTTAATATATGCCCATTGCCTGGAGGTCCTCCTTGATCTCGTCGGGTGAAGCCTTTCGGAGCAAAAGCTCATCGACCGGGAAAGCATCGTCATCTAGTAGACTGTTTGACACCGCCGACGGTATACCATGAAATTCCTTAAGACCGTTCAAAATGCCGAGTTGAGCGTTGACGCAGTTGCGCTGGTGGACCAACTCTACTATCGTATTTTGCTTCTGCGTCTTCTTGTTGACCACGCCACTATCTTGGTAGTACTCTTCGCTGCTTCCGCCGGCAACAATCGGCATATACAGAGAATGAGGGGTCGAAGACGGTATGGCTGTGAAGTTGTAATCTGCCACGGCCAGGTCCAAGTAGTTCCACTCTTTGTTGATTTTGTACCACGACGACGTGGTTTCGGTTATCATTTCGTTCCTAGTGCCGGCTAGATTCTTCATGAAATCCTGGTGTATGCTGGTTCGCGTCGCAAGAGTCTCGGTGTTGATGCATTTTAAACTGTAGTTCAATGTGGCGTTGGCCAACTTGATGTTGTCCTGGTAGAATTGATTCACCTTGTAGTAAATCTGGACAAGTTCGGGATGTGATCCTTCCAAGCACAATTGCATTTCATGCTCAAGAAGGCTGAGTTTGTCTTGGTATAGCTTGTCTCGGAGGAAGGAGAAGTCTTTCTCGATGGATATTAGCTCTTCGATTGCAGACCTTCTTTGCTCGTCTAAGTCGACGTCCTCCTCCTCTTCTCTTGCTTTCTCGCCCTGTTTCTCTTGTTTTTCTCGTTCTTCATCTTCTTTTTCATCTTCTTCTTCTTCCTCCTCATCCTCCTCCTCCTCCTCCTCCTCTTCTTCTGCCTCTCCCTCTTCTTCCATCTCCACCTCTTCTCGTTCTTCTTCTTTTTCTTCTTCTTCTTTTTCTTCTTCTTCTTCTTCTTCTTCTTCTTCTTCTTCTTCTTCTTCTTCTTCTTCTTCTTC